ATATATAATTTTTTTTTAAAATATAATAATACACACACAATTATATTGTATATACTTACCAAATCCTGACGACATTCTTGATGATGTCCATTGAGAAAGACCAGTTGTACCAGCCTGGCTTTCAAGCAAATGGATATGACGGTCAATGTTCTGATTAGTTGTAGTGTGACTACTCATTGGCCAAGTGGCTAGTAATCCTGGACCGATATTTGCATTCAATGGGACTCCATTCATTGCATTTTGTATATTTTGTGTTGGTAAATTACAGCTGGGGTATCCTGTGGAAACTCCGTAGAAGCCAGGATTTCCCCCTGGAAAAGCAAGCAATGGATTTACATTTCCTAAATACTGTTGTGTAAATGGTGTGTTAGAAAGGCTTTGTCCAGAAAAAAGAGAAGATACTGAAGATGGAAGTTTCTGTACATCACTCTCTGATACAACTGGTTTAAAGCCAGGAACACATGCACATTGATTACCAGTAATGGTCTGCATAACAGCGTACTTCTCCAGCAGAGCTGACTGGGGCATATTTGCAGAAGGTAATATTTGGCTAGATTTTGTTGCATGTTCTTGCCAAGAGAAAGGATTATGGTCTTTACCACCTAAAGATGTTGGATCCAGTTCTAATTGTTTAGGGTCTCCAGATTTACATCCAATGTCACTGGCTGATACAGTTCGGAATGCAGATGGACTTCTACTCAGTTGTTTGGTATGATTGTTGGTTATCTGACTTTTGTTGTCTTCCCAAGATAAATTGTCGTTTCGTGCAAGTTGCATTTCTGAAGGTGTAGGACTTGCTCTCACTATAGTTGTGCTCAGCTCAATTGTATTATTACTCTTGATAAAAAGAAAAAAAAATGCATTCCAGTGAAATCAAGCAGTTTCAAATAATGTCCACACAACACACAAACAGGATAATACAGAAGTGTTCTCATCCATTATACGAGATAAAAGGCAACACAAGGCTGAAGCGCACACACGTTTCAAGACATCAGAGATGAATGAACACAGGAAACAGTTTAAATGCTGTATTAGCAACTGTAAAGCAGTAACACTCAACATTTAAATCAGTACTGAAAATTGATATCAATAACACTGGGGAACACATTTTTTGTTGCATTGATACCAGCAGTTGTTCTTACTTAATATGAGTGTGCTGAATTCCAAATCAGAAGTAGGTTTTTCTCTGCAAGCTCTAGATTTTTTACAATTAAACATTTTAATTTCTCACACCTCTCGCATGATGGCATGCTCTATCTGAAGAATTAATGGTCACGCAGTCCAGGCTTAAACAACCATCTTGGCAAATATATTCTTAATGTATTCGGACAAAATGTGTAGGTGCATCACAATATGAATTACATTTTGAAAAAAGGCAAAATAAATCACTTGTGTGGAGTAAAATATGTATCACCAGTTATCAAATCCAAAACATTTATCCATTATAGACAAATAGGAGTAAGCACTAATGCTTTTTACTTTAAATTAACACATATTTTGACATAGATGATAGGTGAATCAGAACAACTGATAAGGATTGAATGCAAAGTTCAAATAAGTCCTTATGCAGGCAAGCTGTGCTGTTTGTGGATTTGCTCAGGGCAATCATGTTTGATGCTCCAACAGTAGTCTGCCATCATATTTTTGTCCCATCACCCTCAATAATTCTGTTCCGTCGTCATGAGGTCTTGATGGAAGTGCTCTCCCGGTTCATTACTAACAGCCCCAAGGTGCACTGGGAATTGATCAAGGTGACTATTCAGAAAATGGAGCTTGATCTTCATGTTGCACCCAAGATTGTGAAAAGCCAACAGCATTCTAGTAACAGGAACCTCATAGTTATATGCGGCTTTGTTACAAAGAAAGTTTTGTATAACTGCCACAAAAGACAGCCATGCTGCCTTCTCCTTGTCATTCCTCTTCCTGACAAATTCCTCATCACATAAAAGGGGCATGAATGTGAGGTCCATCGAACACACCTGCTTTGATCTTAAAATACAAACCAGGAAAAGCAGAAACTATACGTTGAAAACATTCACCATCCATATTTAATGCCTTCATGAACTGTTTCATCAAAATCAATCAAGTAAATCTAGGAGATGTATTAAAAGTAAATTAATTAACAAAAAAGATAAAGATTATTGATGTTTGTAAAAATAAATAAATAGCCTAATTAGTCTAAGGATAGGGTAGATGAAGCCTAGTTCTCAAGCTATCACTAGTGTAAATAGCGAGGGGTGTCTTTTGTGAAAATCACAAATGTCAACTTGCCTGCAAGCTAGAGCATGTAGAGGAAAAACAATTTCATATTTGAAATGAGCGTTGAAAAATACTTAGAATCAGTTAAAAAATCTCATGCAACAGAAAAAAAATAAAAAATATTCCCCAGTGTAATCAGTACATT